AGGCCCTCATCCTTCAAATGCTGGAATCCAACAAGCCCCTTGGGTGATGTGTAAAGCACCGAGTGGTTCTGCTCTGGGTAACATGAACAAGGAAGCTGTTAATGTTAGGCCACTGGGCCCTACAGCCAAATGACAGTGTCATCTTTGGATTCTGCAGTGCCTCTCAAACAGCGTAGGTGGAGTGACATTGATAAAGTACTGTAAGGTGACCCCAAGCATGGTGCCAGTGATGGCGCAGGCTATGGGTGTTCGAGGCATCTGAGCATTTGAACAGTGTTATTGTGTGAAATGTGGGTGGAAAGTGCAGTATTTCTGCGTGAACAGATGTGGCTTGGAATATGTGTTCTCGTCTCAACAAGCGTGACTGGGATGTCTTTTGTGCTCGCACCTGGAGGACAGAGGCATTGCTTTGAGCTTCCCTTTGAGAACACGGGTTTGTGCCATGTAACAGATGTGGAATCTACTCTCCCTCTCATGTTTGGATCGATGGGAACCCACTCAGATCCATCCAGCTGTTGGGGAGCAGGGACAGGACTGTCTGGTCACGGTGTCTGGGGCCTTCTTTCAGATTTCGGAGGCAACATTAACGTGGAGACCATCAGTGCCTTCATTGACGGTGGCGGCAGTGTTTTGGTGGCCGCCAGTTCCGACATTGGTAAGTCTGCCCTAGGAAGTTCCAGGGCTTTCCACCGGTTCTCCATAGAGCTCAGAGGGCTTTATATGAGGGAGCTACCAAGGCGGCATTGGCTAGGTGAGCCCCGGCCAGGGAGGCAGTGAGGCAGCTGGAGGGCTTATTTGGCCCTGGGTCCCTTCTGTACTGTCTGTGACCGAAGACGGTGAGGACCCGGGTATTTTCTCCGTGATTTGCTTGTTGTGTTCTGTTGGGTGGCTCTGCTCTGATGAGAGCAAGAAGTCAGGGGAGACAGTGGGTGGATTTTGTTCCAGATTCTGGTTTTGAAAGTTTGACAGCGGCACGGTGAAAATTACATCCTTGGCTCACGTGTTGGTTTCTCAGTTTCAACAGCGAACAGCTCAGGCCTGTCTTTCGGCCATCTCCATCTCTGTGGGTTTCTTGGTGGCTCCATCTCTGTGGGTTTCTTGGTGGCAGACAAGGACTGGTAGGCTCAGGCCTGCTAAACCAGCATGGGCTGTGGCTTTGCTAACTTTGCTAAGGGGGTCTGTGCAGATCCACGTTGTATGTTTGTGCAGGGACGGGGGAAGGCTGATGTTGAGTTTCACTAATCATCTTCTGAGCCCTGGAGGTGGCACCCTGCTTGATGCAGGTGCTGGGCCCTGCGGCTGACCAGCAGAGGGCGAGGTATGGAGAAGCCATGATGTGTGTTGTCGGGCCTGCCGATAGGGCTCAGCCAGGCAATCTCTTGGATCTGTGCAGGTGACCCTCTTCGGGAGCTGGGCAGTGAGTGTGGGATTGAATTTGATGAAGAGAAAACAGCTGTCATTGACCATCACAGTTATGATGTCTCAGACCTTGGCCAGGTAATCAGCTTGTCCCTTCAGCTGTCTGCAACGCACAGCAAAGCTCAGCTTTGCTTAGAGACCAGGTGGAAGTCAGGCCCTGGGCCCTTTTCTTGACCCTATTTTCCTGTCCCCTTTGCAGCATACGCTCATCGTGGCTGATACTGAGAACCTGCTGAAGGCCCCAACCATTGTTGGGAAGTCATCTCTGAACCCCATTCTCTTCCGAGGAGTTGGGTGAGTGGGTGGAGGAGGATCAGGACTCACTTTCTGTTTTTGGACTTCAAGCCAATTTTGGTTTTGTTTTTCGAGACAGGATTTCTCTGTATAGCCCTGACTGTCTTGGAACCCAGGCTGTAGACCAGGCTGGCCTTGAACTCAGATCCATCTGCCTCTGCCTCACAAGTGCTGGGATTAAAGGGGTGCGCCACCACCCCCCAGCCAAATTTAGGGTTGAGAATGTTCCTTCCCCCAGGTGATAGCAGTGAGTTTTACCATAAGTGCCTGGCTATTGAGAAAGTATCTTTCCTGGCCAGATGACGTGGTGTGTGCCTTCTGAGGAGGCTGAAGCAGGAGGATTGGGGCTTCAGGCCAGCCTGGCTAGAGAGACCACATCTTTGAATGGATGATGAACAAAAGAGAAGAGCTGACCCCTCTCTCTTGGAAGAAATGGAAGAGCTTTTCCCTGGGGGAGGTGGCGTGGGACCCCGTGTCCTACAGCTGCTTCCTGCTCAGTGCTGGCCTTCTCTCTCCTCTCCCTTGCAGAATGGTGGCAGACCCTGACAATCCCTTGGTTTTGGACATCCTCACGGGCTCTTCAACCGCTTACTCCTTCTTCCCAGATAAGCCCATCACCCAGGTGAGAGCCTGTGCAGCCTCCAGCTCCTGGGCCCAGGGCCAAGCACTTTGGATTTGAAAACCAGAGCAAAGCGGGAGAGGTGGGCTAAGACTCGTGAAGAGATGATGGGACTGGGGACAGTGGTGGAAACAGTGATGCTAGGTCCTCCCTCGGGTGGGTGTGGGGACATAGCCATGTAGGAGTCCAGCCTGCTGTCCACTTGCTGTGCTGGCTTTGCTGGTACTTTGGTGATGCCCAGGTGACTACTCCTTCTGTCCCCAGTACCCTCACGCGGTGGGGAAGAACACTCTCCTGATCGCAGGACTCCAGGCCAGGAACAATGCCCGGGTCATCTTCAGTGGCTCCCTGGATTTCTTCAGCGATGCCTTCTTCAACTCAGCAGTGCAGAAGGCCACACCCGGCGCCCAGAGGTAACGCCAGAGCTGGGAACATGAGGTCTGTGTGCAGGAGAGCCTTTGGAAGTAGGTCTTTAGGGCTTCACCATTATGTAGACTTGGTTACAGTGCTGCTGGTATTGCGCCCCCCCCCCTCCCCCCCGGGTGGTAGTGGCTTGTGTGGAGCTCTCACCTACACTTCTGGAAGATGATGTGGCTTGTTGCTCAGCACTCAGCCAACAGGCATAAGGCTCTGTTCAGTCTCCAGGACCAAAATGATTTGGGACTGATTGTGCAGATGACCCATAGCAGCCCCGCCTGCAGCTTTCATTGTTTCCCCTTTAACCATGGGCCAGTGGATCCAGCAGCTTCCTTTCAGAACCTCACTTGAGTGCATTGGCCTGGTCGGCAGGAGTGGTCTCCATCAGGCACCCAGCAGGAAGTGGGCTGCAGCCTCTCCTTTCCCCCCTCCAGGTATTCTCAGACAGGCAACTATGAGCTAGCTGTGGCCCTCTCCCGCTGGGTGTTCAAGGAGGAGGGCGTCCTCCGAGTGGGACCTGTGTCCCACCATCGGGTGGGCGAGACGGCCCCACCCAATGCCTACACGGTCACCGACCTGGTGGTAAGAGCTCCTGCGGGGGGGCAGGTCCTAAGGTTTTGACCAGGGTGGATCAGTTAACTCAGAAGCCTCAGGGGTACCCAGGAGGAGTATGTGTCTTCACTCTATCTCTAAGAGAGTCTGCAGAGATGCAGAGCCGGCCACCATTGTTAACTGAAGCCGCTGTGGCGGAATGTAGTGGAGTTCAGCTCCACTGAAGGGGCAGGGAAGTCAGTTACCAGAAAAGTGACATGGCAGGTGGGACTTTGGGTTGGACTTTGTAGGTCACTTGTCGAGGCCTGGACATTTGTCAGTGCCTGACACTCAGGATGGAGGGGACTCTGCTAAGGACCTCAGGCCCAGGAGTGTCAGCTGTGCGCTGTGACCGGGCAGCGGGGCCTTCCACAGGCTGCGGGAGTCCCCGAGTCCCCGCTGTGTCTCCCAGTAGTGGCTCCCGTCCAGTGCGGGTACTCCCGCTGACCCAGCCTCTCATGTCAGGAGTACAGCATCGTGATCGAGCAGCTCTCCAATGGCAAGTGGGTCCCCTTTGATGGTGACGACATTCAGCTGGAGTTCGTGCGCATTGACCCCTTTGTGAGGACCTTCTTGAAGAGGAAAGGTAAGTGTGACGCCTGTCCGAGAAAGCCACACAGCAGCCACCTGCCCGCCTCAGGACACACGTCCCTCTGAGAAACCCTCCTGATCTGCGTGCTGCTGCTTCCCCAGGTGGCAAGTACAGTGTCCAGTTCAAGCTGCCTGATGTGTACGGTGTCTTCCAGTTTAAAGTGGATTACAACCGGCTAGGCTACACACACCTGTACTCCTCCACCCAGGTAAGCAAGGGGCAGTCCGTTTCTGGCCAGTAGGTGTCCTTGGGCCTCCCAGTCACCAAGGCCTGCTGCCTCTGCCCTATTACAGGTGTCAGTGAGACCACTCCAGCACACACAGTACGAGCGCTTCATCCCCTCAGCCTATCCCTACTACGCCAGTGCCTTCTCCATGATGGCCGGGCTCTTCATCTTCAGCATCGTCTTCTTACACATGAAGGAGAAGGAGAAGTCTGACTGAGCCAGAACCTGGGACTCCATCCAGCAGGGAGATGGCAAGAGGATTTCACTGGAACGGATGGGTTGGGTTGTTGTTGTTTTAAGGCCATGGGAAAATGGCACAGCCTTACCTCAGTGAGGTGATGACTATGGGGTGGGGGGCAGGGAACTTTTTTTTTCTGTAAGTTTTCCCATTTTGAATCACTCTGTGGCATTTTTCATATGTGCAACCACCCCCATTTCTAAAATAAAGAGAACTACTGCCCTCACCCCTCATCTGGCCCTCACACTTCCTGATGGCAGGGCTGCTGTCTAGGGATTTCGTGCCGGAGACTGTCTTTTCACTCTTCACAGAGGGAAGGTGGGAATCACACAGGGAAACTAGAATTTCAGGGCTGGACTAAGAATGCTGGGAAAGACGCCTCTCAGGCCACCGTGCATTGAATGGTGCGTCATAGGTTCAGGCAAAACACCAATAAGCATGAAATAAAATAAAATTAATAAAGAAGAGCTTGAGTTACGTTCACTGCCTTCAGGCTCCACCCATGTTCTTGTCAAGCACATATTAAACTGTATGTGAACGCTTCCTCTCTGTTGGGGTAGAAGAATCGTTCTACAAGCCAGAAACTCTGCTCAGCACATTATGCTCTGCATGTGGATTTGCGTTTAATAGTTTACAGCTCCCATGAGGAGCGCTGGCCAAACAACCATCCAGCTAATGGGCTGCACTGTTAGCTCCTGCTGCCCTGACCGGTTCAGCTGTGCTAGGTAAATCCAGACACAACTGGGGGGGCGCTAAGGAACACATTTCCAGGCCTTCCTCGCACCGTCCTGGCAGACACCCCTGCCATTAAAGGGCGGTTTTTCCTGCTGATCTCTGAACACGAACATGTCCTGCACCTAAGTTGCTCGCGGCCTAGGCAGCACGTCCCAAGCAACACCGTGGCCACCTCTGTCAAATAGCCCATTCCTGGCACTAGGGACCGATACCACAAACTGCCACCCACTGTCTTGTCTTGGATCTCGGTGATGGAGTGCAGGTCTAACCCCCTCCCTCCCAGGCCCGTCCTTGTCTGCCACCACAGCTATTCGTGTACTGAGGACAGACAAGGACAGGTCAGCAGTGGCACTGAGGGGTTTTCCCCTGGTGGGGAGAACATTCTACTTCCAGTGTGTGCACAGGGCTCAGCCTCACACTGTCTTTAGCACGGACACTTTGTCTTTAGTGATCAGTGAGCATTTCTTAAGAGTTGGGCACTGTGAATGCGTCTAGCCTAGGGATTGGGAAATGTGTCTGTGAGCCATGCTGGCCTGTCACTGCCATAACTAAACATGGGCTTTGGCATTTCTTTTTTGTTTTTGTTTTTGTTTTTTGAGACAAGATTTTCTCTGTGTAGCCCTGGCTGTTCTGGGACTCACTCTGTAGATCAGGCTGGCCTCAAACTCACAGAGATCCGCCTGCCTCTGCCTCCAAGTGCTGGGATTTAAAGGTGTGCACCCCCCACTGCCTTGCCGGTTTTTTGCATTTCTAAGGGGTTGGGAAAAAATGAAAAGAATTTACTGACAACCAAATTTCAGTGTTGATCCTGCTACACTATTTGTTTGTACTTTTGCCTCGGTGACAGGTGAGTCACTGCACTACTTAACTTCCTGTCTGGCCTTCTACAGCTTGCCAACTCCTGATTCTATGGGAGAACTTCAGTGGGATGGGCCACAGGATTTATTCAAACCCGCACAGCCAGTAAATGTCTACAGCCTCAACTGTTCAAGGTTGCTCTTTCCATTTGCTGAACCTCAGGCTTCCTCTTTGGCTGACCAGCCCCACTTCAGCTTGTCCCTTGACTCCCACCCACCCAGCCAAGCCACCTCCTTCGGCCTTCACACACCATCATGACATCACAACATAGATGCCCCTGTCTTTTAGTAACAGCGCAGCACAGAGCCATCACAGGGCTGCCCTCCAGGAGCGGAGCAGGAGGGCTGCCTGGCAGAGTGCCTCACACTCCAGGTTAGCCAGAAACAGCATCTGCAGCTTTGTTGCCACGCAGCTCTTCTCCATCAGCCTGTCAGCCAGCAGAGTGGCTGCTGATTGCTGGAGGAGCCAGCCAATCATCTTGTCCAATTTCAGATTCTTCAGGGCTAGAAGATGCTCGCCCCAGAGGCTCAAGTGTAGCACGTTTGCAGCCACACGTGCAGAAGGCCTCTGCAAAGCAATGGAAGGTCTGTCAGGATGCCTTCAACAAACACTTGGTCCACACTGTGCTGCTGGGGGAGTGTCGTTTCAGGCCTGCCCAGTTCCGTCCTTCCTCCACCCTCTACCATCAGCTGCTCCCTAACGCAGCACAGACCCTGCCCATGTCAGCTCTGCTGGGACACCTTTGTCATGGAGGGAACCCACATGTCTGGGTTCTAGAACTGGTACAAGAGGCCTCACCTGGTGTGGTTGCTGAGCTAACACTGAGCAGCTGCTGTAAGGAGCAACTGTGAACAGTGAAGGGTGTGAACAGTGAGGGGTGTGAACAGTGAGGCCTGTGAACAGTGAAGCCTGTGAACAGTGAGGCCTGTGAACAGTGAGGGGCGTGAACAGTGAAGCCTGTGAACAGTGAGGGGTGTGAACAGTGAAGCCTGTGAACAGTGAGGGGCGTGAACAGTGAAGGGTATGAACAGTGAGGGGTGTGAATAGTGAGGGCCATGAACAGTGAGGGGTGAGAACAGTGAGGCCTGTGAACAGTGAAGTTTGAACAGTGAAGGGTGTGAACAGTGAGGGGTGTGAACAGTGAGGGGTGTGAACAGTGAAGTGTGAACAGTGAAGGGTGTGAACAGAGAGGGGTGTGAACAGTGAGGAGTGAGATCAGTGAGGGACATGAACAGTGAGGGGTGTGAACAGTGAGGGGTGTGAACAGTGAGGGGTGTGAAGAGTGAGGCCTGTAAACAGTGAGGCCTGTGAACAGTGAGGCCTGTGAACAGTGAGGGGTGTGAACAGTGAGGGATGTGAACAGTGAGGGGTGTGAACAGTGAGGGGTGAGAACAGTGAGGCCTGTGAACAGGGAGGGGTGTGAACAGGGAGGGGGGTGAACAGTGAGGGGGGTGAACAGTGAGGGGTGTGAACAGTGAGGCCTGTGAACAGTGAGGGGTGTGAACAGTGAAGGGTGTGAACAGAGAGGGGTGTGAACAGTAAGGAGTGAGATCAGTGAGGGACATGAACAACAATGAGGCCTGTGAACAGTGAGGGGTGTGAACAGTGAGGGATGTGAACAGTGAGGGGCGTGAAGAGTGAGGGGTGTGAACAGTGAGGCCTGTAAACAGTGAGGCCTGTGAACAGTGAGGCCTGTGAACAGTGAGGGGTGTGAACAGTGAGGCCTGTGAACAGTGAGGGGTGTGAACAGTGAGGGGTGTGAACAGTGAGGGACATGAACAGTGAGGCCTGTGAACAGTGGGGTGTGAACAGTGAGGCCTGTGAACAGTGAGGGGTGTGAACAGTGAGGGGTGTGAACAGTGAGGGGTGTGCAGGCTGCAGAGCAGCAGGCTGAGGCCAAGTCTGTCTCGGGCTTTTCTAAGAAGCCACCTGAGCCAGACCTGTTGCAATTACGGCTCAGGCGGATTGGCCTCAGTGCTCCTGAGAGCAGGGTTTCCCTCCACATGTGGCGTCTTTGTTACACATTTCTCAAAAACACATCCTTTTCTTTCTAAGCCACTCTCATTTAAATAAAATTCAAATATGTTTATTACATTTACTTCTGTATTGGGGGTGGGGCTGAAGGAGCTGGTTCTCTTCTACAGTGTGGGTCCTGGGGATTAAACTCAGGGCATCAGACTCGGCAGCAAGTACCCTTAGCCACCGGGCCATCCTGCCAGCCCTAGGCTGTTTTTGTTTGTTTTTTGAGTTACCCTTGGATGTGTATGACATGTATGGGTGTGCATGTGTGGCACACGTGTGGAGGTCAGAGCATAAGTTGGTGGGGTCAGCTCTCTCTCTTCACCTTGTGGGTTCCAGGGATTGAACTCAGTGGTCAGGTGTTCAAGCACCGTTACCTGCTGGGCCATCTCACCAGCCCATCCTTCTAAGCAACTTCTTATATGACCAAAGCCAAGAGGACAGGGGGGATGGGGGACATGGTGCTTGCCCAACATTCATGTGGCCCTGGGTTTGAGCCCCATGAATGGGGAGTGAAAGGAGCCCAAAAGAGGCATTGCTACGACTCTGATTAAGGGCTCACTGGCCAGCTTCCTGTCCTGTTTCTTCTTAAACCTGTTCTGTAGTTGGTCTTTGCCTGTATATGACAGAGTTTAATGCTGTAGGGCTTGCCTAAACTTGGCCTTGACTCAGACATGAACAAGGGGCCCTCATTCACACAGTCAAAGCCGGGGAACAGCCTCACCTTGCTGGTCTCTCGCTGGAGCAGTGACCTCACCAGCTGTCTTGCATCTGGAGGCACCGACTTGGGCATCTCAGGCAGCTGAGCTTCCTGGTAGCTGCGGCTCTCGAGGTGGGCTCTGCCTTCGCCATAGAAGGGATTGGCAAGCCCAAAGATTTCATAGGCAATGGCCCCCACAGCCCAGGTGTCAGCCTTGCTGAAGTCAATTACTGCCCTGGGGCCAGGATGGGCTGTGGACACCTGCAGGAAGCAGACAGTCAGAGATCAGGCCCCAGCAGGGCTACTATTTGTGTCCATGCAGTCACCTAAGCTGGGATCAAATCGGAACCCAGAATTTACTATTTATTTATTTAGTTTGTTTGTTTGGTTGTTTTTTTTTTTTTTTTTTTTTTTTTTTGAGACAAGATTTCTCTGTGTAGCTTTGCGCCTTTCCTGGAACTCACTCTGTAGTCCAGGCTGGCCTTGAACTCACAGAGATCCGCCTGCCTCTGCCTCCCGAGTGCTGGGATTAAAGGCGTGTGCCACCACTGCCAGCTGGAACCCAGAATTTAAATGCACCGGATCAAGCTCTGGGGATCTGCCACAGCTGCCTGGTTGATGCTGACAAACGTCCAGGGACCTCAGGTCAGCCTAGTTAAAGCAGAGCAGCGGGGCAGGAAAACCTAGAAAACACCCACTAACGGCAACACACACACTGCAGGACTCACCTCAGGGGCCATCAGGGAACCGTTGCCACCGAGGTCCACATACCAGCTAGTGAAAGGCAACTGCAGGCCGATGCGCTCGTCAGCCAGGCAGCAGCCAAAATCCGAGATCACCAGCCAGGGGCAGCTGTCTGCAGAGGCAGCAGAGCTGAGCAACAGGGTCTGCTCCTGCCCCTACAGTCCCTCCCAGGTCCCTCCAAAAGCCACCAAGACATGGATGAACCGGACTAATAGGCTGTGTCCAGGAGCCCAGGCCAGCAAGGCCTAGATGGGAGTCTTTTTTTTTTTTTTTTTTTTTTTTTTTTGGTTTTTCGAGACAGGGTTTCTCTGTGTAGCTTTGCGCCTCTCTGGAACTCACTTGGTAGCCCAGGCTGGCCTCGAACTCACAGAGATCCGCCTGGCTCTGCCTCCCGAGTGCTGGGATTAAAGGCATGCGCCACCACCGCCCGGCCTAGATGGGAGTCTTTATGAGTGAGCTCACAGCTGGGCTGGCAACAAGTACATGGAAATGCCACCCAGAAACAAGGACCCAAACCCAGGCCCAGACAGTAGACTAGATAAAGAGGGGAAAGTAAAAACTGTTCTAGTTAACTAGACATGCCCGGAGACCAAGGGACCTCAGCTTTGGCTAAATGATCTCCAAGGGTCTATACACCCTAGGAGCTAGGAGTCTTAGGTTTGAATTTGTAATGCCAATAAGTCTAATAAATGGATCTTGGGAGATAAAGGGGGTTCACACAGAGTTCCTTGAAAAAGCCAGTTCACTTAGCTTTTTAGTTACACATTTAATAATCTTTAATTAAAAAAACTCATTTTTACTTTGTCTACGTGTATGTCTGTCAAGTGTGTGAAGGTGCCCATGGAGGCCAGAAAAGGTCATCAGATCTCCTGGAACTGGAGTTACAAGGAGCTGGGAGCTTGCACATGGGTGCTAGGAACTGAACTCAGGTCATCCGGAAGAGAGTAGAGCACTTAACCGCTGGGCTCCTCCAACTCCTTTAAACATTCCCAGATCTGAGTGCTGCCAATGACAGAGGAAGCCGGGTTTGTGAAGGCAGCTTTCACTGAGCGAGAATCTCCCTTCCTTTCACTGTTTGAGAACTGCAAGACTAATGGTGTTGTTCTGCAAATCCACAGAGAGGACCCCGGGGACTGTGAGAGAGCTGGCTGCCTGTCTCAGCCATTAGATGGGGGGTCATCTCTGGTGGTGAAGCTAAAGACAGTACAGAACAGAGCAGTCAAGCTGGGAGGATAGCTCAGTAGTTACAGTGATGAGTGATGAGGACCTAGGTTTGGATCCCAGCACCCGGGTAAAAGCTGAAAGACCCTGGTCTAAAAACAAGGGAGAGCGGTGGAAGAAGAGGCCTGGCATCAACCTCTGCCCCCCCTGTGTACCTCACATGTACACACACATACCCTGACCTCAGGGTCTCCATCCCCTGCCCTGAGTTCTCCCTGGAGCACTCTGGGTGTGGCCAGCACCTACCTGAGTCCAGTTCCACAAGTATGTTGTCAGATTTGAGGTCCCGATGGGCAATGCCCTGCTGAACCAGGTGGTCCACGCCCTCCAGTAACTGCAAGGTCATCATGGTAGCCAGGCGGGGGCTGGGAGTGTGCTCCTGAAGGTACTGGCGCAGGGTGCAGGGGTAGCTGGCAGGGAGGACAGAATGTCTGGACATCCCAATTCCCACGGCCTCATCCACCCCCTAGGACTGGGCCTTTCTTCTTCCGGAGCTTCTGCTCTCTTTGTTCCCGAGCATCCTTTCAGATCCCACCCATCCTGACCCCAAAACACGGAAGCCATGACAGTGCCGCTCCCCAGCTCCTCAGATCCATCCCTGCAGTTAGATGCCACAGAGAGGGGAGCTCTGAATGTGCCAGAGCACTGGGTGGAAGTATATTCTGGAAGATGGGATGCCTGTATCACTCCAACAGCTTTCTCCTAGACACAGCCCTCATCTGCATGCTTTGTTCTTCCCAGAAGCTCTGTGCTCCAAGGACAGGGACCAGCTCCCATGGGAAAGGAGAAGCTGCTTCAGGGTCCCTACCCGCCACTCCCCTAACACCACCACTTACTTCTTCATTACGAGGAACAGTGTGCGACTGTGGCCCAGGCCTTCTGGGTGGAGGCGCGGTGGCAGTACATCGGGATAGTCAGCCAGGGCCCCCGGCAGCAGGGGCACAGATGAAGTGAAGGCTCGGAGAACCCGGATGATGTTGGGGTGTGGGGCGAGCTTCTTGGGACCGCCTCTGGATCGTCTGTTCAGGCAAATGGGACAGCAGATGAGACCAGCATCAGAGACAGGTGCTGGGAAGACAGCTAAGGCCACCACAGAGGCACTCATTCACTCACACAGTTACCAATATTCACTGCAGGTTTGCCCTCTTCCAGCTACTGCACCCGCTGCGGGGCAAGACCCAACAGGGGTGACTCCTCACACTCAGTGGCTCCTCTAACCCACCCTTTGGTTCATCTCTTCATCCCACATGGCAGAACATGGTGGCTAAGAGGCCCTGGGAGCTGCCACACTCAGTCCTTGAACTTGTCACCCATCCCCTCTAAGCTCAGGGTGGACAGTGAGACAGTGATGCACTGTGCAAGGGGTTAAGACATAAAGCACGACAGTCACACTCAGCAGAGTGAACACTCGGCAATGCTGATGCTCACTACTAGTCACGTCACTAGCACTTGCTATTGGCACACTGAGTACCAGGCGCCAGCTATGATGCTGGGAGCTTTGAGATCTAGCACAGGAGGAACTCTTTTAGCTCTCCGAGGACAGGGACCCAGCCTCTGATGCAGCCCGCTGTAGTGATGGCCTTGTCCACTCCTACAGAACGCCCCACAGCCACGGCCCTTCAGAGGCACAGTGGTTAACATTGTGGACAGGGTGGCTCTGTGTCCTGTGTGCCAGCTCTGCCCCTCAGGCCAAAGCTGATTGGACCATGAGTGGGCATTCAGAACCAAAGGCAATGTGCTCATCGGTTCATCTGAGATCCTAATGGCTCGGGGGAGGAACAGGCAGGTTGGTTGCTTTCTTAGGGGGCACAGGGAAGGCCACAGGAAGCAAAGGCCTGCAGGAACAGAAAAGTCACAGGGAAGAAACGCCAGCACTGAGGGTGGAGAGGAGAATGGAGGAGGGCCCAGAGATAAGCCAAGTGCAGGAGGATGCCTGCTCTGTCCTGGAGCCTTGTGGATGAGTCCACGTGTCCTTGTCTTGGCTCTCTGTGTCACAGGAGTGGGCCCTGTACTACACAGCACTGCTCTTGGCCCTGGGTCACTGGTGACAGGGACAGCAGGACCTCAGCAGGAGGCTGGCAGCGCCCTGGCAGGTGTCATAAGAGCTCTGAGGCAGTGTGGGCAGGATGTGTCTGAACTAGGTCTGTCTGCAGTGCGCGGGAGCAGCCTGAGCACAGCAGACCGAGTTCATACTTCGGGGATGGTGGTGTGGAACTCAGGAGTGGGAAGGTGCGAACGGGCAAAGATGAGAAACGAGGTGGAGAAGCAGCAAGGAGCTGAGTCCGAGACCCCTGGACGAAGGTCACGTGGACATGGCCCGAGTGCTCTAGGGGGAGTTTCTCTGGAGACCCGGCAGCACTTCTGCTATTACTCGGCACAGACACCTGGGCTGGAATGCTGAGCCAACTGGAACTGTATAAGCAGAGACACCTGGGCAAATCAGACTGAAGGCCAGACCCCTACGAAAGCCACGGGAGGGTCAGGGCAGTTTCAGAGTCTGCACACCATCGGGCTTGTGGCCAACATCAGTAGTTTCCACCTGTGGAGACAGTGCACGTGTACCACTAGGTGGCGCCACACACTGCTTTGCAGGAATTAGGACACTGTCTAGCACTCTGAACTGGCCTGTATGGAAGGTGTTCATTCCTGCTCCTCTGTGAATCAACCATCCGCATCATTAGCTGGGATGAGATGATCTTCACTCTTTCTCAAGCTTAATTTATCCACAAATTGAAAATTCTTCTAGGACATCATTCACTAACCATCCACTGTGTGGCACACCAGACATGGTGCTGATGAGGGAGACACCAGGGATGCATTTGTTTTCAAAGAACCGGTGATTGCTCTGGTGGACAAAGGGGTACTTACCTGTAAGTGACTCCTCCATACTCTCCATCCAAGGCCATCCGGCTTGCTGGGACCAGCTCCTGGCTCATTGTGCTTAAGATGGCTTCACTGGAGGAACCTGCCTGGAACATACCCACAGTGCACCTGTGAGTCCATGCCCTGCCTGGGATCTGAACCAAGACATCTGCAACCTAGAACAGGCTTTGAAAGTCAAGGCGAAATAACCTCCCTAAAGCAGCAAGCCAAAACCAGTTCCCCCTGGAGCCTGGAGGGAGGTGCTACTTAGAGCATGCTTCCCACACCTCGAACCCAGGTCAAGCGGCCCTGGGCAGGAACAGAGGCCAAGATTTCAGAGTCCACCATGCTTCCCATCAGGGGTGTCTCCAGTTACCAGCAGCTCAAACTGGCCACAGGGAGGTAGCAGTAAGCTTTGGATCAAGTTGTTGGGGTGTGGGGGAGCACAGGACTCCTCCTGGCCAGGGAAGCCGGACATAGAAGGAGGTGTGAGGAGAGGATGGTGAAATGACCATCAGCTCAGAACCCGTGGTTTAAACAGCTGCCACTCAGAGTGGTCCACAGACTAGAAGCCTGGGCACCATGCGAACTGGGAAAAAAAAATCAGACTCTTAACCCTGTCTGACAGAAGCCAAATCTGTTGTGGGTCCTGAGCCCCTGGTGGATGGTGGACACGTTACAGTGTCCACAGACAGCTCTGACTCCCATGTAAGAGAGTGGACACCTAAGCCCACAGGCCTTTCTTATGGAAAGCCTGTGAAAATCTCCCCCGTCCCTGAAGATGAAAGGTCCATCCTTACCGAGATATTCCACATCATCTTGATGGCAAAGGGAAAGGCGGGGGCCCGCTCCCCATCTGCTCCCTTTGGGAGGATGTCTGGGCCTTTCCTTAGAAGGCCAACGCACTTGGCCTTCTCCAGGTGCTGGGACAGTGTGGGCACGGTGGCTTCATACACAGCAGCGCTGCAGCCCTTGCCGATGGACTGTCCTATCAGGTAATCCTCCAGACGGAAGCCCTGCCAGCACCGCGTGTCCAGTGGGTCAGACACCAGCTTGTTTTTCTGTGTAAAAATTGCCTGTGAGGAAAAAGAAGGCGCTGTGATCCAGGGGCTCTAATAAGGCCACCACAGTGAGGTAGGGTCCTCACCAAGACTGCCACCTTGACTTTAAGTGTGGGCTTGTCCTGGGTATGGGCTAGCCTGCCTCTGTCTCATTGTCTAGGACAGTCTTTCTCACATATCCCTTCACTGTGACCAGAGACAGTCCAATGCAGGCCCTACATCTGTGGCTTCAACCAACTGCAGGTGGAAAAGAGTCTTTAAAAATTGCAACTGCAGCCCCGAGGTGGTGGTGCATGCTTTTAATCCCAGCACTCGGGAGGCAGAGGCAGGTGGATCTCTGTGAGTTTGAGGCCAGCCTGGTCTACAGAGTGAGTTCCAGGACAGCCAGGGCTACACAGAGAAACCCTGTCTCAAAAAAAAAATTGTAACTGCAGTCCAAAATGCTGGTGTACACCTGTAATCCCAGCACTCAGGAGGATCATGAGTCTGAGTCTGAGCCATATTGCTGTGGAACAATTTTCTTGTACACTGTAAAGATTTGTCACTTGAATTGGCTTAATAAAATGCTGATTGGCCAGTAGCCAGGCAGGAAGTGTAGGTGAAGTGTAACACGAATTCCTAAATGGTCTTAATAAAAAACCTAGGGCCAGATATTGGGGCAAATGCTGAAAGATCAGAGAGACAAAGGAACAAACCATAGCCACCACCTCTTACCTCACCAATTCCTCAGCCTGAAAAAGCCTCAGCCGATAGGCCTCTAGCTGAATGAGCTTCCTCCACCAAAAAGGCTTTAGTTCCTGTCTCCTCACACCTTATATATCTTTCTCTGCCCACCCATACCATTTCCTGCCTCAACTTTCCTAGTGCTGGGATTAAAGACATGACTCCCAAGCACTGGGATTAAAGGCATGTGCCACCACTGCCTGGCTCTGTTTCTCTCCTAGACTGAGTTAATCTCATGTAGTCCAGGGTGGCTTTGAACTCAGAGATCCAGACTGATCTCTGCCTCCTGAGTGCTAGGATTAAAGGTGTGTGCCACCACTGCCTGGCTTCTTTGTTTAATCTAGTGGCTTGTTCTGTTCTCTGATCTTCAGGTAAATTTATTAGGGTACAAATATATCACCACAGCGGGGCAACCAAACTAAGAATGCTGGGAAGAGGATGGGCAGTGTCAGAAGTCACCAGCCAGATGCAGAGGAAGCAAGATGAGAATGTTGTACTGAGAAAAGGTACCAAGCCATATGGCTAAACATAGATAAGAATAATGGGTTAATTTAAGTGTAAGAGCTAGTTAGTAATAAGCCAGAACTACTGGCTGAGCATTATAAGTAATATTAAGCCTCTGAGTGGTTATTTAAGAACTGGTGGGCAGGAGAGAACCATCTGTCTATAGCCATAGAGTGAGACCTTGTTTTTATGTTGTTGTTGTTTGGATTTTAGAGACAGGTTTCTCTGTGTAGCCCTGGCTGTCCTGGAACTCACTCTGTGGACCAGGCTGGCCTCCAATTCACAGAGATCCACCTGCCTTTGCCTCCTGGGTGCTGGAATGAAAAGGTATGCACCACCACGGCCCCAAACAAATAATTTATATGTACATTTTTTTTCCTTGCCACTATTCTATGAACAACCCAGTAAGCTGCTCTTCACATGGCATTTGTTCAGGTCCTTGTAACACCATATCAGGCACTGTCAGTGATGTAGAGATGATTTACAGCACACAGGAGGTGCATAGGTCCATACAAAACCGTACAAAGTTCTTATCTATCTGAGGGCTAGACTTTTTCTATCTGAGGGGAAAATAAGGAAACACATGTTCTCTGAGGATAACTTTCTCTTTTACTTCATCTTAAGAAATCTCTTTCTGAAAATCTATCTCTACACAGCTACATTCTTAACATACACTATATATCTCTCTTTATATACATACATCTCTCTCCTCAGAACCATATATTTCTATACACAGTTAAATCCTTTTTACATAGCTCCACATCTCTTCTATACACATTTCTTCTCTCTACTCTGCTACATTCCTTCCCACACTACTAGATCATTCACTCACTCTTTACTCATTCACTCTCTCACTCACTCACTCACACTCCTCTACACACACACTCTCTCCCCTACATCTCTTTCTATATAGCTACACAAGCTCTCTCTTCTACATAGCTACTCATCTTCTACCCGGCTCTCTCTGCACACACCTCCTGCTCTCTCAGCACACACCCACACACCCACACACACCCTCTGCCCAGCTCTTTACACAGCAGCTCTCTACCTAGCTCTACACAGCCACTTATCACAGCCAAACTCTGGACAATTATACTTACATTTTCAGGGTCCAACCCATTCTCATAGCACATGATAAGTCACCATTTTTCTCAGGCTAGGGAGGTCACACTGACCAGCCAGCAAGTAACACTTGGCCATGCACGTAGCTCTTTCCCAGACAGAAAGTGACATTGAAATTCAGGACTTAACAGTAACAGTTAGTTGGCTGAATCCTGAGTCCTGTAACATAAACTGAGGCTGGGAGTATATGCAGAAAGTCAATTACTGCAGAGGGCTATGTCTACCAAAGTTACTTCAAGTCTGACCTTGACTCAGCAATAAACACCTGAGAATCTGTCCCTGTGTACTCTCTGCAGGGGCAGCTAGTCTGTTTTAAATTTGTTCTGAAGTCTAAAATTAGCTGTCTTTGTGACTTGAATACTGTTACTTTCCTGTGTCAGTTATAAAAAGAATTCTAGTATTATTTCTATTCATCAGAATTATACAGATTAAGCAGAAATCATCTTCCTGACCATCCACAGCTACATATGTGCCCAATAGATAGAATATTTTCACAAGATAAACACACAAGCAGTGGGAAGACACCCATAGCAGTTTTTAGGAAAGAAATGTAGTGGCACACGAGAGAAATTACAGACAAGAGCAACTGGTTATTTACAGTCAGTGACCCCATGGCCTTGCCAGGTGGGGCTCCCCATCAGAGAGTTATTCGTCTGGTGGGTCGACCTGTTGAACACTAGTTGTCACCTGCTGTATACTTCCACGGCCTCTGGCACCATCTTATCGAAGGGACATGAACTGGTATCTGTGAATTTTGATATCTGAATGGGACCTAGGACCCATTCCCTGTGGACACCAAGGGACAACTGTGGCTTGTCCTAGAGCTTTGCCAGGCAGGGTAATGCATGCCTACAGTTGTTTATTTCTGGGGTGCTGGTGCCTTCCCTATGCTAGGCAAGTGCTCTGTCACTGAGCTACACCCCAGCTCTGCGTCTCTCTCTCTGTATTACTGCAGCTGCCTTTCTCTGAGTTCCCTCATGAATTCTCCCCCAGACCCCCATCTGCATTCTTGCTGTGTCCAGCACACTCCTATCTACTCAAGTCCAGCTTAGGTCGTCCTTCCTCCATAACCAGCCCTGGGGACCAGTCTGTCACATGCCTTCTGCAGTTCCCAAGGCACTGGGTCCTTAGAAGCTACTATACCTTGAACTGAAGCTTCTCACTGTTTAATACATGGAAATGGGTGTTCCTTTGGCATCAGCTTCATAAACCCCAGGGGCGGGAGAGATATCTGCAGAATAATCCCCATCAACCAGGGTTTGAGAACAAGATATTTTTAACTTTTTATTTTGAAGTAATTACTCTCACAGGAAGTTGCAAAAACAGCACAAAATGTCCCTTGTACCCTTTTCCCAGCTTTCCCAATGGCAACACCCATACAGTGGTAGCACAATTGTCTCAACGACGTAAGTCCACAGCTCACTACAGACCATACTCAACTGTCACTACATTTAAAAAACTTGCACGTGTGTATGTGTGTGTGTGCATGCATGTGCAGCCCCACACAATCTTACTTCATGTGGATTCACGTGATCACCTCCCAGTCCACATGCAGGGCTGCTCCGTGGCCACAGGGCTGCTCCACGGTCACATGGCCCCTTGGCTCTCCCACCATCTCTACTGCCATCACCTCCCCTGTCTCCGGCTTCCCTGATCAGTTTTCCCACCGCAGTTACCTTGTGCCAAGAGAGTTAGAAATGGAATCGTCCAGTGTGTAGCTCAAGTTTTCACACTAAGCCACTGCCCCAAGGTGCATTTAGGTCCCTACCTCTACCTATAGCCAACTGCTCATTACTGCTGAGGAATATTTTATTATGGATATACCATGGCTTGTGTTACTCTTCATGCATGGGTGGATATTTGTTTTGTTTGTGGTATTATAAATAATTTTGCGCCAGATGGCGGTAGCTCACGCCTTTAATCCTAGCACTTGGGAGGCAGAGCCAGGCAGATCTCTGTGAGTTTGAGGCCAGCCTGGTCTACAGAACAAGATCCAGGACAGACACCAAAACTATACAGAGAAATCCTGTCTCAAAAACCAAAATAATAATAATAATAAATAAAATAAATAATTTTGCTACCATCATTTATATACAGCACTAAGTAGACTTATATTTAAATTATGAAATTCTTTTCTTTAGTGATAGGGTCTCATTACATATATCCCTGGCTAGCCTGGAACTTGCTATGAAAATCAGGCTCTCCCTAAACTCAGAGATCAGCCTACTTGTGCCTACCACAAGTGCTCAGAGTAGAGGTATGGGCCTCCATGCCCAGCATAAATTGTCAAATATATATATAACATAAATTTTAAGCATTTTAAATGTACAGTTAACAACCACTATTACCATTCATCTGCAGAACATCATTCATCCTGCAGAACTGAAACTGTCCTTACTATACAGCTGCACTCCATTCTTCCTCCTCTCTGACTCTGAACCATTAGAAGCCTGGCTTCTAGACCGGAACCATATGCTGTCCTCAAGGCTGATCCACTTATAGCCGGTTCCAGAATTTCTTTCCCTTTCAAAGGCTGAATAATATCCTATATTGTGTGTACACACCACTCTTTGTCACCTGCTGTATACTTCCACTGCCCCCAGCACCATCTTATCCAAGGGACATGAACTGGTATCTGGATTTTGATTCTGAATGGGACCTAGGACCCATTCCCTATGGACACCAAGGGACAACTGTGGCTTGTCCTAGAGCTTTGCCAGGCAGGGTTATGCATTCATGCACTGAGGGACAACAGGGTCACTTCTACCCCGTGGCTACCATAAATAAGCAGCCTTGAGCTTGAGTGTGTAAAGGTTTGCCCACCCTTTCCATCATGTCAAGTATCCGTGGAGAAGTGGAATCACTAGACGGAGTGATTCTGTTTTTAACTCTTTGGAGGGTTAGGGTTAGGGTTAGGGTTACCATTTTTCAAAGCAACTGCAGCACACAGGTTTTTGGGTGAATGTTTCTGTTTTCCCAGTAGATGCTGATGACTGTAACGACAGACTGGTGTGGTAAACACATATTTAATTTTGTGTTGCTTTTCATTTGCGACAGCTACCAGTAAGGCTTGAGGGATCCCATTTTCCCACCCTCACCGCATCTGCTATTGTCCTTATTTTGATTTTTAGCTGTTCTAGCAAGTGTGCACGGATACCTCATCTCATTTTAACGTGCACTTGTCAAATGGCCAGTGGTGTTGGAAATCTTCACACATGCTTCCTTGTCACCTGTACTCACACCTCTATTTGTTCGCTTGCTTGCTTGGGACAGGGTCTCACTGTGTAGCTATGTAAGACACACGAATATGATCCCAGTATTAGAAATGGGAAGTAGATAGAGGAAATGCTTGCTTGGTCCTTCCTTGATCGATGTCTTTGAGCATCATGCTTCATCCTCTGCCCCTCAGCCCGACCTTGTAAGATTCAGGGGCTACACTCACTCAGCAAGTGGTTCCAAACCCCAGGACAAAGGCTGGCCTCCCAGGAGAAGGCTGAGTTCTGCAGCTGTCAACCTGAAGACGTGCACTGCACAGCCAGCTCTTCCCTGGGCCTGCCTGCGGGATTTAGATCTGCCAGCCCAGCATGAGCCAAGTCCTCAAAATAAAGTCCCCATCTCTAAATATACACATCCCTATTGGTTTTGTTTGTCTGGGTGACCTTGACTAGAAGACTTTGGGAGTAGAAAGAGAGGTCACTGTGCTATTTTAAGAGTTTAAAAGGCTGAAGAACTCCCACGTATCCAGTGATAACCCTGCTCAGGTTTACTAAAACATTAGATGCGCTGTGTTCTCCCAGGCCTCTCTGTAGTTTCTGCTCAGGCTCTCACTCATTGTTTGGCTAAACTGGAGCGGCACTCTGGCTCAGCAGAGGGCACAGGCTTTGAGAGGGTGGACTTTGGGCAGTGTGATTTTGACCAAGTCACCTCACCTTTCTTGAATATGTGTCCTCCATGACAACCGCATCAAGGAATAAGAGTGCTACGATTTTTAGAAAACGTATACAAAGCATAGTGGCACATGCCAATAATCCCAGCACTTGGGAGATGGAGACAGGAAGGTCAGAAGTTCAAGGCCAACCTGGGCTACATATACAAGTCAGAGCTGCCCTCCACCCCCGACAAGCCCCAAAAGAAAAGAAAAACAAATTTACTCAAAGCCACTTGCCATAATGTAACAGGAACTAGTAATTAGCAATACCTCTTGTAAAACACACTGTTTGTAAAAGAAATGCAAAGTGCTGCATATCAGACCATCAGTAACTGGAAGTAAGTCAGACTTAATTGATGATTTCCAACTTACACTTCAGTCAAAGATAGACCTTAATCTTATCCCTTGACCCACTACCAGTCTCGGTATGCCCTCATGATATGCTCCTAGACACATAACGAAGATGCCACCCGCCACTTAGTACAGTCCACGAGTACCCCATCCCTTGAATTGCCCAATCACGGCTCAGGGCCCTGCCCTTCCCAATGCCCACGCCCTATCTGAGATTTGTGGTTCAATCTCAGACCCGCCTACACTAAGGCTCAGAGCCTGACTCCACAACCTCTGATGCCTGGTTCTGTGCCCGCCCCAAATCAGCGGGCGCAAACTTAATGGCTCTAGAACCACTTTCCAGACCTGCTCCTAGCCACGCCTCCGCCCTAAACTAGCGTTCCCTATTGCCTCCAGACTCGTGGGGGCCTCCACACCTCTGCTTCCAGCTGTGGTTCTAATTGTAGCCTCTCCCTCTCTGGCCCCAGGTCCTTGCCGGATTCCAGCCCCGGACCCTAGCCTCGCCTTCGCCATAGCGCCACTTCAGCTATGGCTCCGCCCCCTAGGACTCAGGGCCCGCCCCCGGCCCAGCCCCACTCCCGACCACCTTCCTAACCCCGCCTCCTCCCGGCCAGGCCCCGCCCTCACCCCGCCCCGTCTGGCCTAAAGTCTGAACTCCCGGCCCGGGGCTGCCCGCCCACCGCTGCGCTCACCTGGATCTCCTGACAGGCCGAGGCGGCCCGCCGGCCCTCCGCCTGCTTCTCCTCGATCAACCCCAGCCCCAGCCCGAAGGCCAGGAAGGCTGCTCGGCCGCAAGGGCCCGCGCCGCCCCGGGCCCGCACCACGAACTGCCGCTGGATCCGCGCCGCCAGCCCAGCCACCGACTGGCGGAAGAAGCGGTAGCGGTCGGGAAGGGGGAGCCCGAGCGGGCCTGGCTGTGCTCTGGGGCCTGCGGCCCGGCCCGGGCGCTCTCCGCGGCCCCAGGCTGCCGCTGGGCCAGGCTTCCCCAAGCCCGAGACCGGGCCGGGCTTGGCCGCGAAGCGCAGCAGCAGCGCCCGACCCAGTTGCAGGCCTCGGCCCAGCGCCTGTCGCACCGCCATGGTGGCGCGGAGACCCGATCCCACTGCCACCGCCACAATCGTCCGGGAGGCCGAGGACAACAACAAACTTCGGGGGCGGAGCCTATGCGCAGGCGCGGGGGTGGGGCGGGGCCGCGGCAGTTCCCCGGCTCGGTGCACGAGGGCGCTGTCCGCTCATCTGCGTCTCTTCCTAGTCTGGCTGGTTTGCACTCTGAACCCTGGTGGAGCGGTTGCGAAACAACTTCACCGGCCCTGGTTAAGATGAGAAAGTGAGTCAGTAAACTAATATTTGTTATCAATCACCGATCCAGGCCACTTACACCTTTAAACTGATTTAACTTCCCCGCCAATGATAGAAGAGTGCCAATTTTGTAGATAAAAGAGTGCTGTGTTTTCAGAATGCATGCAGGTATTAGAGCTGAGGTTGAAGATCAAGCTGCCCGGGCTGTTGAGGGCCTTGTCTCTTCTCCCCCACCCCCAGTGCCCTCATGCTCCTGTACAGGTCGCAGGTTCCAGAACGTCTTAGGACTCAGAGGCAAATCTTGACCAAAAGCCACAATTTATGCCTACTGAGTGCTGGAATTAAAGGCGTGTGCCCCCACACTCAGCTTTCCAGATTTAAAAAAAAAAAAAAATCCCAGGAGGCTGGATAGATGGCTTATCCATTCAGAGCACCAGCTGCTGCTCTTACAGAGGACCCAGGTTTAATTTCCAGCACTCACATATTGGCTCACAATCATCTTTATCTCCAGTTCCAGGGGTCCAGCACTGTCTTCTGGCCTCCTCAGGCACCAGATACACAAGTGGTGGACAGACATACATGTAGGAAAACCATGCATATAAAACAAAACAAAACAACAACAAAAACCCTGAGGTCCAGGGATCTAACTCAGGTTCTAATGTTTGCAAATCAAACTTATTTGCATATGTGTGTGTGTGAAGTTTACCTATAGAAATCAGGCAACTGCCAAGGGGTCCATATTTGAATGGTAGGTACAAAGTATGTGTGTATAAGATATGTGTCTTTAGATATTCAGATGAGAACCCAGTAGTTTCACACTTACTTGTAGACTCACAGAATGCATATATATGCTCCTTAAGAAGGTTCAGAGTACTGGGTATGGTGGCCCATGTAGAGAGTTCCAGGCCAGCCAGGGATACATAGTGACATAAAAAAATATCATTCCAAGTCGGGTGGTGGAGGTGCACGCCTTTACTCCAAGCACTCGGGAGGCAGAGACAGGTGGATCTCTGTGAATTCAAGGCCAGCCTGGTCTACAGATTGAGTTCCAGGACAGGCTCCAAAGCTGCAGAGAAACCCTGTCTCAAAAAACCAAAAAAAAAAAAAAAAAAAAAAAGTCATTCCAGCCAGGTGTGGTGATACATGCCTTTAATCCCCTAGCACTCGAGAGGCAGAAGTAGGTGAATCTCTGAGTTCGAGGTCAGCCTCGTCTACAGATGAAGTTCCAGGACAGCTAGGGCTGTTACACAGAGAAATCCTGTCTTGAAAAATAAATCAATCAATAAATAAATAAAAGGACAAACGTTGTTACTCAATTTACACAATGTTCAAAGGCAGTGAGACTGATCTGTAGTGTTAGGAGTCAGGACGCTGAGTGCTGGTGACCTCTTTCATGACCTGTGTGCCCATGTGATGAATTCATGTCGCTCACTGTACACTCAGATCTATGCAGTGCAATTTTCTGTTCTCCTCGCTGCCTCCTGTAACATTCTCTAACCCTGAGCCCCAGACCCTGAGTACTCTATTTCAATAGGAATTTTGTGGTGGGCCACCTCCTCAGTACTGGGGTTATAGGATGCAGCTACAGGATGCAGCACTGAGGATCAAATCCCGGGTTTCATTTGTGGTAGGCTAGCTCTCTACCCGCTCAGCTCCATCCCCAGCAGGATTTGTTTTCTAATCTCCTGTAACATAATCCTTTTCCATGAGGCTTGTGATGAGTCCTTAGCCTGAGAAGGGCATTCTTTGGAGTTCAGGAGTGTGTTTGTTATAAGCCTCGGGATTTGTTCTAAGCTGCAGGCAGTTGCACTACCCTGGGATAGGTAACCCGCCTGCTGGAAATGAATTCTCCAGACTAATGTTAATTAACCTGCTGTTGTAAATTGGATGTGCTCCCGTCTCCTTCTTAGGGGAAGTCTTAGCTGCTTCTGACAGGTCTGGGCCAAGCACAGCGTGAAGCCTGATTCCTGGGTAGGGATCTGTATAGAAAGGTAATGTCTGCACATAGCTCCTGGCAGGGCCTGAGGACCTCTGTGCGCTCCACCTGTCATCTATGATAGGGGCCCAGGAGGTGCCTTTCTTCCAACCCTCCTCACCTCTCTTCTATTTACATTTATGGGGAGGTATGTGCTTCCCTGTGCATGTATAGGCCAGAGGCCAACATCAAGTATTCTCTTCTTTTGCTGTCCACAGTGTTTATCTATTTGTTTTTGAGACTTGGTCCCTCACTGAGCTTGAAGCACACCCATTTGCCTAGAGTGACTGGCTGGTGAGCTTTGGGATCTGCCTGTCTCTGCCCCTCCACTCTCAATGCTGGGCTTACAGACATGCACTGCTGCACCCAGCTTTTATGTAGGCATTGGGATTCGAACTCAGAACCTCATGTTTGTGCAGCAAATACTTTACCCGATAAGCCATCTTCCCAGCCCCCATTTGTCCTGTGATGGGAACCTTTCTGTGGCACCAAGAGTCACAGAGGTGGCTAATCCCCAGTTCCCTATAACGTCTCCCCAGCTTGGCACTGATATCCAAGAAGGTCAAAATGGGGGACGTGGGACATGGCCTTCTGTGGAGAATCCTGCTTACATTGCAGGTTTAATAGTCTGTACGAGACAGCCGTTCATCCACAGCACATCAGACAGTAGCTATGTGCCAGATTAGTTCTGATCTGCTCAGAGACAAGAATGAGGGGACAGAAAGGGTGCTGGGAAGGCCACTGGGCCCGTCTCTGGTCTACTTCCCTGCCGCGGGCATCCTGTGTCTGCATAGCACGCTCCCTCCATGCACAAGGGACATCTGAGTTTTGGTAAAGTATGTAATATTCCTAAGCAGCAGCGTTTAACCTTCTCCCAAAGGACATGAGGGGAAAAGCTGATGCTAATGGAAAAATGGAAAAGGCAAGAGTTGAAAAAAAAAACAAAACAGCCTTTGAGTGCGTTTGTCCTTTCCTTTCCGGACAGCATCCCTTGGCACTGGCTCACCAGCTCATCACTCTGTCCCCTCCTGGCAGAGATGGACACATTTTCCCAAAGCAGCAATGTCCTCTAACCACAGCCCATTTCAGAAACGCTATCTGTGAACTCGGGGGGCGGGGGTGCGGGGGCTGGCAGGCTGCTGGAACTGTTGACAGAGCAAAGCTCAGACCAGGTCAAAGTCCTGCCCCCTAAAGCTCCTTGGCTGGAGGCCTTAGAGGTTACCATCAGAACACAGTGGACAGACCTTGACATTTCACAGGGAGGAAGCATCACCATGGTGCCTGGGCCAAGACGAGACATGGTGGGCAGTGGGACAGGAAGACGCCATATTGTTGAGAAGTCCAGCTGTGTGTGGTTTGTGCTGTTCATTTTCGGCTGCCCTGTAATGACGACTCATGGAAAAAACACAGCTGTGCCACCTGCTGCAAAGTCCTCTCCAGGCTCTCTGTCCTGGCTTATTGCTCTTAGGACAAAGTCCAAGATCCTCATCTAGGCACAGAGTGTTCTTCACTATTTATCTGGCATCTTTCTGTCCCTCTCCTTCCCTAAGCTAAGGCCCAGCAATACTAGGAGCATTTGCTGTTCCCCAGTCATCTCTCTGATCCCGATGGTCTAATCTACCTCTCCAAGTCTCCATTCACACTCAGGGGCCCCGAAGCCTCCCTTGACCTTCTCTGGAATGGACTGGAAGCTCTTTCTCTTTCTCTCTCCCCGTGTAACATGTGAGTTCTTTAAGAAGCAGGAGGTGTTGTTGTAGTGTTTAAATCTGGTTTCCCTGGCACCCAGTGAAAGGCTGTCTGGGTCCCCAGTCCTTGTTTGAAAGTCTTCTGGGAACACAAGCCTTCAGCGGACTGACTTTCTCTGCTACATCAAGAAAAATGTGGCAGCTGTCTCCAGTCCCAACTCTCCCCAAGCCTTGCCTCCAGCCCAGAGGCAACGAAATATTTTGAGCTATTTTTTTAAAATAGTTTTCTGTAACACAAATTGCTAAATGGTCTTATCAATAAAAAACTCAGAGCCAGATATTGGGGTAAATTCTGAAAGATCAGAGAGGTAGAGAGCAAGCCACTAGTTTTTTGTTGTTGTTGTTGTTTGTTTGTTTGTTTTTGAGCTGAGGATCAAACCCAGGGCCTTGCGCTTGCTAGGCAAGCGCTCTACCACTGAGCTAAATCCCCAACCCCGCCACTAGTTCTTACCCCTACAAAATCCTCCACTAAAAGAGAGAGTGATTGGACCGGTGGCACACGCCTTTGATCCCAGCACTCGGGAGGCAGAGCCAGGTGGATCTCTGTGAGTTCAAGGCCAGCCTGGGCTACAGAATGAGTTTCAGGAAAGGCACAAAGCTACACAGAGAAACCCTGTCTCGAAAAACAAAACAAAACAAAAAACAAAACAAAACAAAAAACAAAAAAAGAGAGAAACCCTGTCTCAAAAAAAAAAAACAAACCAAAAAACACAAAATAAAATAAAATAAAAAAAAGAAAAGAAAAAAGAAAGTGATTTCCTGTTTCCACACGCCTTATGTACCTATCTGTGTCCTGCCATTTTACTTTCTGGGATTAAAGGCTTGTGTACTTCCCAAGCAAAGGCATGAGATCTTAAGCGTTGGGATTAAAGGTGTGTGCCATCACACCTGGCTGTGTTCCCAGTGTGGCCTTGAACTCACAGAGATCCAGATGGATCTCCGTCTCCCTAGTGATAAGATTAAGGGTGTGTACCACCACTGTCTGGCCTCTATGTCTAATCTAGTGGCTAACTCTGTCCTCTGATCCCCAGGTAAGTTTATTAGGGTACACAATATATTGGGCTACACAATATATCACCACAGTTTCCCCTACATCAGCTACTGCTCTCCCCCACCCCATTTTTTCTTGAAACAGGGTTTCATGTAGCCCATGCAGATCTCATATTGTATATGTAGTAGAGGATGGCCTTGAACTTCTGATCCTCTCCAGTGCTGGGAATACAGGCATGCCTTACTTCAGCTGGTTTACTGTGGCTATGAGGAGAGAACCCAGAGCCTGGTGCTTATAGATAAGCATCCTTCTGATGGAGCTACACCCGCAGCTGTTCAACTCCTGATTTAGAAGAGAGAGCTATTTCAGGGGCTAGGCTGACCATGCCACAGCCTCCCTGTCTTGGAACGCATGGTGTCCTTTGCAATCAGGTGGACTCCCACACAGGGCCAGCCATGCTTGCTTCTGCTGACTCTCCTGCCACTGGTATCCTTTCTTGTCTCCTTTTCTTTTCCTTGCCCACGTACATTTTCAACACCTGTATTTTTAGAATGTCCAGGACCTGGTATTTATGGCCCTGTGTGAGCACAAAGGATAGGGACTGGGCCTCAGGGAATCGCTTCCAGCGTAGGATGTGTGGAAACAGTTGGAGGTGTGATCAATCTTCATTGTCAATGTGACGGGTTTAGAAGCATGCAGGTGAAGCTCACCTCTAGGTGTCCATGAAGGTGTGTCCAGAGAGGATTAAGTGAGGAGGGAGGACTCACCACTATCCCAGGGGCTGGGGACTTCACAGAGTGAAAGGGGGGAGGGGGCAAGCCAGCTGAGCAGGTGTGTTCCCTGTCTGTTCCCTGGCCACCGCAGCAGTGACCTGCTCAGCCTCACTGGGTCCTCCTCATTGCAATGCACTTGACCTCTGAGATCAGAAGTTAATAGACTCTTCCTCCTTGAAGTTGTCGTCAGCCAGGGGCTGGAGAGATGGCCCAGAGGTTAAGAGCACTGGCAGCTCTTCTAGAGGTCCTGAATTCAATTCCCAGCAACCACATGGTGGCTCACAATCATCTATGACAAGATCTGGTGCCCTCTTCTGGCCTTCAGGCACACATGCAGGCAGAACACTGTATGCATAATAATAAAAAAAAAAAGTTGTCACCAACAGTGGCATGGAAATATACAGTATGTGGCCCACAGAGAGATCAGCTTTCTGTGCTTCTCAGCTCCTCTCGCTTGCTTATTCCAAGAGAACCCAGCTGCCATGAGCTAACTGCCCTATAAGAACAAGGAACCCAGTCACAAGAGCAGCTGCTCGTGAGGAACCAAATCCTGTCATCAGCTTTGCAGATCTGGCCCACTCTAGTCTTCAGATGACATGGCAACCCGGGCTCACACCCTCTGAAGCCTTTCGAGAGAGCCGAAGACTCAGCTCAACTCAGAATCCTGACCCTGAGAAACTGAGATAATACACACTTGCTGTCCCAGGGTGATTTTCACAGAGTGGCAGGGAGCTGATAGAACCCCTGCGCCCCTAAATTTTCCTGTGCACGTGTAGAGCTTTTAATTTTCCCCTCTTATGTTTTTCATCAAACATCAACAGTCTCTAGTTCAGCCTCTGTGTTGTGAAATGAACATGTCTGAGACTCAGTAAAGCTAGCTACCTATCATTAATCTATCATCTATCATTATTTATTTCTAACTATCTATCTACCATCTATCATTTATCTATCATAATCTAGAGTCTATATCATCTATAACCTACCTGTCATTTGTCTATCATCGATTTACCATCTGTCTATAATCTATCATCTATTACCTATCATCTATCATACATCATCTATCTATAATCTATCATCTATCTATCTACTATCAATCTATCTACTATCTATCTATCTATCTATCTATCTACTATCTATCTATCATCTATCTCTATGATCTTTCTCTCTACCCTCTATCTTTGTGATAGTGGGAATGACCAGGGCCTCACACATACTAGACAAGTACTCTACCACTGAGCTACATCCCCAGCTCTGTTTCTTCTTCCTCACCTCCCACACCCCACCAACCCATCATTCTCTTTCTTTTTGCAATATTGTGGATTGAAGTTGGAGCCTTGCACATGCTAGGTGAGTACACTGCCACTGAGTTATGTCCCTAGCCCTTAAACAAAACAATTTATCTATCTATCTATCTATCTATCTATCTATCTATCTATCTATTTATTTATTATTTACTTATTTATAGACAAGAGCTCTCTACATAGCCCTGGCTGTCCTGGAACTCACTGTGTAGACCAGGTTGGCCTCAAATTCACAGAGATCCACCTGCCTCATTACTTTTTATTTATTTATTTATTTATTTATTTATTTATTTATTTATTTATTTATTTATGGTTTTTTTGAGACAGGGTTTCTCTGTGTAGCTTTGCGCCTTTCCTGGAACTCGCTTTGTAGACCAGGCTGGCATCAAACTCACAGAGATCTGCCTGCCTCTGTCTCCCGAGTGCTGGAATTAAAGGTGTGCGCCACTACCGCCCAGCCTTTTTATTTATTTTTATTTCTGTGTATATGCGTGTTCCTGTGTGACATTATGTGCATCACATGTGCATGGGTGCCTATGGAACCCAGAAAAAGAGTGTTGGATCTCCTGGATCTGGAGATACAAGCAGGTGTGAGCTGCTTAATGTAGATGTTGAGAACTGAACCCCAGTCCTCTGCAAGAGCAGTGCATGCTAAATGCTTTTAACCATTGAGCCAAATCTTTAGCCCTTATCTTTCTTTTTCAGGTGGGGTCTTACTAAATTTCCCAGGCTGGCTCTCAAATCACCATATAACCCAGACTGGCCTTGGACTCATGTTCCTCCTAAGCGAGCCTCCGGGTAGCTACGATTCTGGGCCCACACCACGACAGCCAGCTTCTTGTTCATGAGCAGTGGCTTCCTTCTGAGACATGGGCACTGTGTACTGCTAGTGTCTGTCATTGTAGTTGTGACCTTGTTCCTGCCCAGAGGAAATCCTCAAGCATCGTGGGACTGAAGAGGCAGGCGGCAGCAGCTGGCAAGAGCAGAGGAGGCACACACGCTTCTATTTATTTCCACCAGAATCTGGGACTGCGCCTTAGGGTTCTGAAGACACCAGCACGCTGAACAACACAGCATGTGCGGCTCTGAAGACTTGGCTTGTCAGCGCGTGTGCTGTGCAGCTGGTTGCCAAGGGAAAATGCTTGGGTTTAACATCCCAGCCTCTCCTGGGCCAGAAACTAGAGCTCTTCCGAGGGGATACTGTTCAACTAATTTCTGGAAGCTTCTGTTGAGTAATGCCTGCTTTCATGAAGTGCCCGTATTTGTGCCTTGTCTTTTACCCACCCCAAACCCCCAGAACTTCACGGAACAATCTTTTGCATGTTCCTAACTGGAAGACCTGTCTTGACCTTTCTTAACCCCTGGCTGAAATACGGCTGTCTTCTCTGGGGAGCTCTCTGCCCTCTGTCCCCTGACATTGTCTTCCCCTTGACTGACATGAAATACCGTGAGACTGAGCTCTGGGAAGGTAGGGACTTCATTTTGTCTCCTGCTGTGTCCCAGCACCAGCACAGAGCTGTTACCGTATAGTTAAGGGATGGCATGTGGCTCAGTGGCTGGAGTGTACACCTAGCATGCACACGGCCTTAGTACCCCATACAACTGGGCACCATAGTGTATGCCTGGAGTCATAGCATTTGGAGGAGCGGCAAGAGGGTCAGAAGTTCGAGGTTGTCTTTGACTACAGAGTGAGCTTGAGCCCAGCCTGGGCGACATGAGACCTAGTCGAAAGAGAGAGAGAGAGAGAGAGAGAGAGAGAGAGAGAGAGAGAGAGAGAGAATATGAATCAAATTGGTTGTAAGGACTATTGTCTGATTGCAAAATTCATTCTAAAAGGACCAAAATCTTTCTGCTTTGAGGCAAACAGCTGATACTGGGCTGTTGATTTTTAACATGTTCACTCTGTTGCCAGGCTGGCCTTGAACTTGCCACGACTCTTCTGCCTCGCCTCCTCAGTGCTGGGTGTCCCAGTTAGTTTTGTTTGTTTGTTGAGACAGGGTCTCTCTCTGTAGCCCACCTAGGCTGTCCTGAAACTATGTAGACCAGGCTGGCCTTGAACTCACAGATTCTGCCTGCCTCTGCTCTCCTAGAGCTAAGACTAAAGGTGTGCGCCGCCAGGGAAGAGCAACCTCAATTGAGAAATTGTCTCCCTCAGACTGCTTACAGTCAAGTCTGCAGGGTGTTTATTGATTAAAGACTGCTGTGGGTAGGTAGGTCCCGGGTTGTACAAGAAAGCAGGCTGAGCAAGCTGTGGGTAGCAAGCTTTCGACCATGGCCTCTGCTTCGGTTCCTGCCTCCAGGATCCTGCTCAAGTGCCTGTCCTGACTTTCCTAAACGGGATGGACTGTGATGTGGAAGTGTAAGATGAACTAAACCCTGCTGTGGGATAGTCTGTATGTCAAGTGTGTTGCTGATTGGTCAATAAATAAATCACTGATTGGCCAGTGGCCAGGCAGGAAGTATAGGCGGGACAAGGAGGAGAATAAAGCTGGGAAGTGGAAGGCTGAGTCAGAGAGATTTTCCAGCCGCCACCATGACAAACAGCATGTGAAGATGCTGGTAAGCCACGAGCCATGTGGCAAGGTATAGATTAATAGAAATGGATTAATTTAAGCTGTAAGAACAGTTAGCAAGAAGCCTGCCACGGCCATACAGTTTGTAAGCAATATAAGTCTCTGTGTTTACTTGGTTGGGTCTGAGCGGCTGTGGGACTGGCAGGTTAGAGAGATTTGTCCTGACTGTGGGCCAGGCAGGAAAACTCTAGCTACAAAACCCCCTCCTCCCCAAGCTACTTTTGGACATGCTGCTCTATCATAGCAACAGAAACCCCAACTAAGACACTGGGATTGCAGGCGTGTACCACCATATGTGGCTTAAATATGAGGCTTTTAATTTTGCATGATTTCATTCAGGCCCTCACAACAGTCCCATTTACAAATGAGGAGATGGAGTCTCAGAATAATGAAATAACTTGCACCAAACCATGCAACCTGAAGGTTGTTTAATCCAAAGCACAAACTTTATCTTTAAACATTGTATTTTATTTTTTAGTGCACGCACGCATGTGTGTGTGTGTGTGTGTGTGTGTGTGTGTGTGTGTGTGTGTGTGTGTGTGCGTGTGCGCGCGCGCATGCGTTTACCACTGCACAAAGCAGCCAGTCCTTCCCTGGTTAGTGTGCAAGCCTTTTTCTCCCTGGTCATGGTGTTCATCCCTGTTTCTCCCTGGTCATGGTGTGCATGCCTGTGCACTAAATCTTTCTGCTTGCTCTCTCTCTTCACACTGAGCATTTCTCAAGAGCAGACTGTTTCTTCTACATTGTTCTCTCTGCAGAATTCAGTATATTTGACATCCGAAAGACACTCTGTAACAGTTCTGGCTGTGGGAGGATGGGAAAAACCTCGAAGAACCAGACAGAGCCAACTCACATTCTGGCTCTGCCACCTATCGGCTGTTTGACTTTGGGCAAATGATTTAACCTCTCTGATGTTTGATGCGTTTATTGATAAACTAAAAGCAGGGTGCAGGGAGTTCATATATGTCAAAACCCTCAGCAGAGTGCATAGCTTCCAGGTCACCGTGGGGTCAAGGGATCCGGACCTTTCTTTTCCTTCTGGTTGAGACAGGGTCTCAGTATGTCACCCTGGCTGGCCTGAAAACTCCCTATGCAGTCCCAGCTGGCCTCACACTCACAGAGATCCACCTGCCTCTGCCTCCGGAGTGCTGGGATTAAAGGTGTGCGCCGCCACACCCCGAGGGATCTGGATTTTCTGCTGAGCTCTGCCATGGCTGTGGAGCAAGCTCTCAGCTACTCTGCCCCATGACCTAAAAAGAGAGGTGACGGCCAACTCCCAGAACCCCTGAGCACTGAAAACGAGGAGCAGTACTAACGAGTGTGGCACCGAGTGGGTTCCGAGAGCTATCTTTTCTGCCTTGCCCACGCTCCCCCTTACGCTGCGCCCGTTACCGCTGTGGCAGTGGCTGGCTGGACATGCGTACACCGCGTGAAGACGGATCGCTGTGATTGGTGTCACAAACAGCTGAACGACCAAAAACTAGGCAGGAGATATAGGTGGGGTTTCTGGGGAGAGTAGGAGGAGTCTAGGTGTGTGAGAGTTGTCGGTCGGACACGGAGGACATTCAGGACGAGAGAGGTAAAAGCCGCGAGCCACGTGGGTGGCAGCATGCAGATGGATAGAAATGGGTTAATTTAAGTTATAAGAGCTAAGCTAAGGCCGGGCGGTGGTGGCGCACGCCTTTAATCCCAGCACTCGGGAGGCAGAGCCAGGCGGATCTCTGTGAGTTCAAGGCCAGCCTGGGCTACCAAGTGAGTTCCAGGAAAGGCGCAAAGCTACACAGAGAAACCCTGTCTCGAAAAACCAAAAAAAAAGTCCCTATGCCGTTATTTGTGAGTTGGTAGCCCAAAGAAAAAGTCCGACTACAGGTGACATCAGGACTCAGGTCTCCACTGAGCCCAAACCAGCCCCTAGTAATGGCGTGTCAGTCAGCTTTCTGCCCTGTAACGAACATCTGGGAGAATCAACTTGTGAAGAGGAGGTTTATTTGGGCTTAGTTTGGGGGGCTCTGGCTGGGGGCCCCTTGACTTTCAGCCTCTGGTTGGGGAGGTGCATATCATTGTGAATGTGTGGTAAAGACCAGCTCACCTCATAGCTAGGAAGTGGAGGAGGAGGAAGAGGAAGTCTGGATACCTCCATATCCTTCGGGGACACACCCCCAATGACCCAGCTTCCATCCCGTGTCCATACTATAGCAAGTGGGCTCCTGGAATCAAACCCTGCCTAGGGGCCTCCCACCCAAGAACACAGGGGCAAGGAGCCTCTGACTTCAGATGCCACTTAGAGAGGTGCACTGGGAATCAGCTATATCCTCGGCCAGAAGAAAACGGCTAAGCCTGCCCCACGAGATGAGCTACCCCCTAAGTCCCGCATACAGAGACTAAAAGCAAAAACAGGTTCTCAGTCAGGATGTTCTGTGGTTTATAATCAGAAAAGTCACACGGAACAGGACAGCACCTTGAGAGGCTGGCAGGGAGGCAGACCAGGCCCGGAATGTCAGGGCCTGCAGGAGGGAGAGGTGGGGTGGAGTGATCCAAGTCTCCAGGAGGATGCAGGATTTGGCCCAGGCTGAGTGATAGCTTCCATCACTCTAGGGGGGACTGTGGTGTGTGTGAATCAAGGTCGCCCTTGCCTAGCCATTTGGGACCACCCAGGTGGCAGGTATCTCCAGGCCCAGCCAGGGACAGCGTCATTATGAAATCTTCCAGGACCTGGCCCTTAGGTAGAGAGCCCAGGCCCACACAGGCAGGCGTTCTGTCCTTTTAGCTTCACTGAACCTTCTGCAGGTCTTCAGGCCCAAATGAGGCCGGCAGCAGCTCCTGGACTGTCCTGACTATGTATGTGCCATCTGGCTTGGTCATGTACACGGCCCAGTCGGTGCCAAACTGGAAAAGAGAGCAAAATTGTGTGAGAGGCCAGGGGACTGAGGGCAACGGAAGGCATGGGTTTGAATCTGACTCTACTGTTTTCTGTCTAGTGGTCCTCTGTGCCTCAGTTTCCTCTCCTGTCAAATGTGAGTAACAATAATTACACCTGGTTCATAGAGCCTGAGGAGGAATTATGGGAAAAGCACAGGTTAATAGCACAGTCAGCTGGCCATGAGCATTCCCTAGGGGATACCCCAAGAGCTTTTGTAAAACTAATACCTTTTCTCCATTTTCACATATGCGTGGAATACATGTGTGTGTATGCACGTGGGGGGGCACACATGGGAACACATGCATGTGGAAACTCAAGGGTTGGGTCTTGAATCATTCTCTATGGCTCTTCCATCTTATTCACTGAGGTCTCTCCATCAAACCCAGAGCTCACCCATAGGGCTGGTCCAGCCAGCTTGCTCTGGAGATCCCAACTCTGCCTTCAAACACTGGGATTGCAGGTGTCTGCCTAGACCACCTCGCAGTTACGTGGGTTTCTGGGGATGCCAACTCCGGTCCTCAAGGCTGCACACAAATGAGCCATCTTCCTAGCCGCTGTTGAAATACTTCCACCTTGGGCTGGAGAGATGGCTCAGTGGTTAAAAGCACACAGTACTCTTGCAGAGGAGCCAAGTTTGATTTCCATCTCCTGCACTGGGAAGCTCACAATTTCCTGTAACTCCAGCTCCAGATCTGATGTTTCTGGCCATTGTGAGCAACTGTGTTGGAATGCACATACCCCCACACAGACACACAGACATAATTAAAAATAAATTTAAAAAACTCTGCCCCAGAGCTAGGCTTCCTTCTTCAATGACACTGACAGCCAGCATCTACTGCCCCTTACAGGTTCACCTTTATGCCTCATTCCAGGAGGAGTTTGTGTCTGTTTGACGACTCTCAACATACTATGTTTGCAGTATAGCATTATCTACCCACGGAGGTGGTTGCTATCATTGTATTCCTTTTACTGTTGAAGAAACTGAGGCTTAGTGGTATCAAGTCGGCTGTGGTGGTTTGGAAGTGGTGTCTCATCTGGACACTTGGTCCCCAGCTGGTAGGCCTGTTTGGGGAGGTTTAGGGAGTGTGGCCTTGCCGGAAGTGCCACTGGTAGCAGGCTTTGAGGTTTCAGAATCCATGGTTTCCAGCACACTCACTGTTTCCTGCTTACTGTTCTAGAAGTGAGCCTTCAGCTTCCAGCTCCGGCCACCATATCTGCCATCTACTGTCCCTCCCATTATGGACCCTCACCCTCTGGAGCCATAAGCCCCAAATAACCATTTTTTCTTA